ATTCTGTAAAAGCAACATAGATTATTTTTTCCCTCCCAAACGAATTGTGTTGATTCTCTGTCGGTTGGGAGGGCTGGCCGCCTCTCTCTCTCTGATCCCAACTGGAACCATCATTTAATATCAAATATATATATATTCATCAAATGATTATTACATGTAAAACAATTTAAAAATTCTTTTTAAAAGATTACAAAGCTGTGGGAATAATTAATTTAAATTATTGTGGGATTGATCTTATACCAAGTAACTGGAGATTTCTTTATGAACTTAAAAAATACGCCCCAGTATGTATAATTGCACATCAAAAGAATTGATTAATATTGTATTTAAAATTGTCCTAACATAAATAATTAAAGTAGAGAGATACATTTTTCTATAAATTTATACGAATAGAGTCGGGAATAAATGATTTTCTGTACCTCAAGTGTTGGAAATTTCAATCTAAAACCAGACCTACTAACTATGTAATTGTTAACCACGAAATATTTAATTTCTGTTACCATGCCTTTATAAATTAATTGTGAAGTCAATGGATCTGGCTATCGATAATGTAGGCTTAATGTCCCCAAACACGGTCAATCAATCAATCAATCAATTATTGGATCCACTTTGATACAGTAGCACTCATACGAAATGCATGGTGCATACATAAGTAAAGAAACATACAAAAATAAAATAGGCCTGCATTAAATTACTAGCTATTGGTTCGGTTTCACAGTAAATTTAGACGAGCGACGATCATCTGATAACCTAAAATACTAGTCTGGCGCCCCCTAGAGTTTCGATGTTTTTGTTGACCAGTAACAACTGCACAATACTTACATGATACTGTATAGTAATTCCGTTACATTGTCGGCTGTACCATGTAATTGATAACAAAATATTTTATGTTATTCTAGTTAAACACTTTTTGAGTTTTTAATTCAAAGAATAAAATATCATATGAAAAACAAATTGTTATTCCAAACAGAATTATAAATTAATATGTGTACGTATCTAATGATAAAGAATAAACACATTTTATCTGAAGTTTGTATAAGATGCTTTACATTTTTTTAGTTAATCAATCTAATATATAAGTATTTGTATTTGTTATAAAACTCTAATCAAGAGAAAGGCAGTTACGAGGTTTAAAATATAATATTTCGAAAAAATTATGATTCCGAACAGATAGGGAGCCCATGCCCATAGCAGGCCCTATCCAATGATAAAGAATAGGCAGATTTTGTCTGAAAATAGCATAGGTTGAAAGCTTGGTAAAATCGTTAATTATTCGTTAAAACATATATGTGTTTGGATTACTTTCAAAACTCTACTCAAGAGAAAGTCAAATATGATCTTGAAAATATAGCTTTTCCAAAAATATATGATTCCGATCAGATGGGCCTACAGAATTTATGTATCTAATGGTAAGATTAGGCAAATTTTGTCTGAAAGTAGTATAGGTTTAAAGCTTGGTAAAATCGTTAATAGACCTTTCCGGGCTGTCAATCAAACTTCCAAGTAACCAATCAGAACAAGGCATATACGCCCTGTTTACAAACAAGTTTTCCACACAAACACACGAGTTACGAGTTTGTGCAGTACCTCCATGATTGGAGTGCCTGTGTATTCGTTGGTACTGTTTGTATAATCTTTGAAGTGTTCAAGGTTGCCCTTTTGGCGTTCCATAAGTATGGAACAGAAGCGACGTGGATGATATGACCATGGAGGTATAATCATGGAATAATACCTCCGTGATATGACTATGCAGTAGGAAACCTTTACCATGAAGCCAAAAAAAAAGAGAAAAAACAATTGCCTAGGCCTACTGTCAGTGGAATATGACTTGTGGAAGACGGCATGTCCTATATTTCAACAGGGTAAACAAGCATACAGCTCAACGGTAGGATTTCATTATTTAAGTTAAGTGAGGCCTACAAAAATAGGGTGACAGACGATCGGGCACACGAGACGATCGGGCACAGACGATCGGGCCCGTTTTTGGACGATCGGGCCCACTTTTGATCGTCTCGAAAACGGGCCCGATCGTCTCTTGGGACCGATCGTCTTCAAGGAAAACTGGATATTGGGCCCGATCGTCTGCTGACAAAATCGAAAATTTCCAAAACCATTTTGGCTTGCCTAGGTCAATTTCGTCCCGTCAAATGACAAAATGTATGGAGCGCCGCGTTGTTGCTCCGCGAGTTCTTGGCATGCAGAATCGAAAATTTCCAAAACGTTTTCGTCAATTTCGGCAGTCGAATGACTATTACACCGGGGAGGAGTTAATTCACCCTCTTCCGATTATACCAAATATATATTGGTGCATTCTGTTCTGTGGAACCATGTTTTGAGCCTTCCATATGCTATATATTTTGCTATTCTCATGTTTTTCTTTAGCTTGACAAAGGTTGATAACCGAAAACGTTGCTCACTTGAATAAAATTATATATCTGGCAACTTATTACCATCTCTCCGGAG